CGATGTCCCTAGTTCAGCTCCAGCCAATGAACTCAGGGCCACAACTTCTCTGATGCCAATCATCTTTCAAGATCCAGTTCATTTAGCTCCTAGCCTAGCTTCTCTCTTCGGCCCGCAGGCCAACTTTCACCCACCTCCAACCAGACATGGGCAATGTGGAGTCAACAAGTCATCTCCATGTCATGTATTTGTTCTACCCAGCCACTGAAGCAGGTGAGTCCCATCTTCACCGTGAATTAACCTGTGCAGATTGGACTCACCTGGTTAATTGGCTGGGTAGATTAAATACATGACATGGAGATGACTTATTGACTCCACATTGCCCATGTCTGCCTCCAACCCATCTCCTCCCTCACTCTCAGACTATTCTCAGTCCCACTCATCCTCTGGCTTATTCGTCCACCAATCGGTTTCTAGGTTCTCATCCCCATCCGAATGTTTCATTCACAGCATCAAAGTTTTCTACCGGGCCCCAAGCGCCAAATAACTTATTTCATTTATGTCTATATCCACTTCTATCTTGTTGAACCCCAGTTGGGTAGAAGGCCGCTCACCAGAGGTGTCAAGTAACAATCAAATATGTTGTTACCTTGGAGGGATTATTTTTTAGACAAATTTTTACTTCTACTCCTTCAAAAATAAAAATTGCAATTATCTGTGATTTCTACTCCTTACATTTCATGAAAAGACTTAGTTTTGTTTTATTCAAGCTCATTTTCTTTATGACCTGTTGGTATATTAAAAAAAAATAAATCACCAAAATGATTTGTATCATCCAGACAATGAATTTCTTTTTTGGTTGGACTTGGGGCTGAACCAACTTGTTGTTTGTTAGATACCAAAAAAAAAAAAAATTCTTTCAACTTGATGCAAAGTTAAATTTGACGCTATTACCATTTGTTATGAAACTAAGAAAATCAAGTACAAGGAAATTATGATCCAGAATTGTAGAAAAATGTTCCTTTAATAGGGTAGTGCAGTAACCATTATAAGGGTTAAAGCATCTTTCCTTAACATTTTTTCCCGCATTACCTATATTTACTTGAGTAAAAAGCTTAAGTTGATCTAACTTCTATAAAAGTATTTTTACTGAAGGATTTGTACTTCTACTTGAGTAAAAAACATTATTATTTTTGACACCTCTGTCTCACACTGAGCCTGGTTCTGCTGGAGGTTTCTTCCTGTTAAAAGGGAGTTTTCCTCTCCACTGTCGCTACAAGCATGCTTAGTGTGAGGGATTTCAGAGTCAATGAGTCCTTGCAATCACCTGGTTTTCCTTATATAGAAACATTTTGAAGAATAGGATTGTGTTACATAAATAAATAAATTGAAAATACTTTTCTAATTGCAACTTTTCTTTGCATGAGTCTCTCCCGGTTGAAATACACTTTATCTTGACCTTTTCTCAAAATTAGAAAATAAAAAGAGAACATGCAATTGAAGTTATGCAGATCTATTTTCCCAGGGACTACAAATGGAAGCTAGCAATAGCTAACTCTATTACAAGAGTGTATTTTGTACACCGTCCCCATTAAATAATCTTATAAACTAAACAGCTTGGAAAGTGCCTTAAGATGGCAGGCATTGTGACCCGGTGCTACATTAATAGACTGAACTGAATTGATGTTTTCGGGTACATAAGGTGGGAAAAGGAGAGGACTGTGAGGTTAGGAAAGGAGGTAAAAAAAAAAAAAAAAAAAAAAAAACTTTTTTTTAATTTACAGTTTTAGGCAACAGCAAAATTTTCAGGGAGAGATAATTCTTCTACAATAAAAGATATATGTACTTAAAAACTTTTTTAATATTTAGCGGTTGTGTCAGTAGATCTATCTAGCTATATTTATTAAATATTATCAAATATCTACTAACTGTAGTTTACCGGACTAAAACAAAAGCAGATTAAATGTATATGACTATAATATGACTAAGGCTAATGCATGTTGTGTGTTTCAGGATTGTTTCTGGAATGCAACAGGGAGTCATTAAAAACTACATTTCATTTAGTATCTTATGAATAAGGTTAAATAGCAGTTTATTACAGCAGATCTAAAAATCCTCTAATGAAATTTGATATGAGAAACAGCAATGTGGCCTGATAGAAAGATATTTTTTTGCTCTTCTTTACCCAAAAAACTAAAATAGTTTATTTCATATTGGCTCCTCGTTCTCTTACATTTTTATATAAATGTAGTTTTCAAGGTGAGAAATACAACTTTACAGATGGTACAAAAAAAAATGTTAAATTAGATTTGTTCATTTTTGGTTTTTATTATTTCATTTATTTCTGCTTGTCTATCTTTGGTGGAAAAAAAAAACAGCAGCTCTAAAACATGTCTTATGACTCCTCTGACTCTTGGGGATAATCAATGACATGTTGGACTCGTGACGCATAACTGGATTTTCAGACTCTGGAGAACAAAGAGTGCATTTACAAGCAGGGATGTCTTAAACAGCCAGCCTTACAGTGGCTTCAGATTTACCTAACCAAAGCTGCAAAACCAAAGAAATTTAAAAATCATTATAAAAACTTTTAGCCTCAAATGAATACTTGTAAAAATTTAACTTCCTATGTATTTAATAAAGACAGTTTTCTACGTGTCACAGCGCATTAAGCTCTAACCCCATTTCCGAACAAAGCTGAGCAATTAGTTGCTTTTATCCTCAACCTCAGTGGCATCCCACTCCTTTCAGGACACCCCTCCAATCCACCTTTCTTTCATGCTAATGAGGCTTTTGTTGGACACATTCCACCACCACTGCTATTTTTAGAGCATTTTCTTTTTCCTTCTAACAGCACAGAGTGTAAGCCAATATCAGCTGGAAATGAAACGCAGTTACTCCTTGTTTAAAAGGCTTTTAAGGGTTCAATGTTGTAATTGTAGCTTCACTGGAACAAATTAGCTGTGATCTATGTGCTACTAGGCTGTGGGTCAGCAGACCGGGACCATGTGATTTCAATAGGATAAGAAGAGAATAGATAGCATACTGCCCATGTGGACTGTATGTGCTTTTTTAGATTTATATATAACATCTGATTTTTTTTTTTTTATTATTTGTGCAAAAGTGAAAAAGCTATGGAGAGACAAACGAGAAATGTTAATAGTGCCAGGGGCCAGATTTTCCAAATAAAACATCTTTTCATCAGTCTCGGCAATAGGACATAGTTTTTAGTATTTTTCTCTTTCAACAAACCCGCATTTATGTTCGACTTGAAAAACTTGCAATGTGATTTTCAGTGATTATTTTCCCATAAAAGTGTGCATTCCAGAATGAATGCTGGGTTTTGTTTCCACGCTGGCTTACGTCTCGATCATTTGCTTGGTGTAACACTCTGTTCTAGCGACGTCTTAATTCTTGATGGTCTTTGTTGGTTAAGAGCTCAAAGGAAAGGCGAGCTCCTAACGAGGCCAGCTGCTTTGCTGGCTGGATAGATTTTGGCTTTAATTGCTGTGGTTAATGAGTTTAAGTAAGCTGAAATAAATGCGTCATTACTGGCCAAAAAAATCCCCTTCTGGAAATCCTCTTTGTTTTTGCTCTCCTGTAATGAACAGTGGCTAAAATCCTGTGGAGGACAAAAACGGGTGAAATTTGTGGACGTCCGTATTATTCTGCCGTCAGCCCAGTCAGGCTCAAACGGCTCCCTTTTACCTTAAAAGGTTCTCATTTGAAAACATAAAACAATTCTTTTAAATTTTAATTCTCTCTCCTTAGTTTTTTAAACTCCCTTTTTATTCCATATGGAGAATCCTTTGTAAAGGATTTTGCTACAAACCAACAAAATGTGTGATATTTGACATCTCAACTCTTAAAGTGGCAAAAAAAAAAAACTGAAATCTCTTAAACATGATGTTAGTTTTTCATTGATTTCTATGTCTTGAAAAAAAACAACATATCCCTATTTTTTTCGAATAGCTTGTGGCATTTCGACTACAACCTTTTATGTGGTTAAGGACTTTGATACTATATACCACCAAATGGTACTGTATGATTATAAAACTAAAAAAAGAAAGCATGAGAAAAATAATTTCTATAAGGAGTGTGATGTGGATTTTTTTCAGTTTCCTGTTATATGCCATCTTTTATCACTTTAATTCAGGCTAAAAGGGTTGTAAGTTAAGTCATATTTTGCAAAAGAGCTCAAGCTCATTCAGATTTTAAGGTGAGCAGTCATGAAAAACAATTTTAAGTCTTACCAAAAAGTCCAGACTTGGACTTCTTCAGTTTAACATTTTCTTATTTTAGCTAAACAACCATGGTGTGTTAGGTTGGCGTTTTTACTTTATCATTTGTTTTTATTTTTTGACATTAACCTAAACCTGGTTTAAAGACACTTACATCTTTATTCTCATTTGTCTGCTGTTTCCTTCGCTTCCATAATGCCGTTCTCTAACAAACCTTTGAGGCCCCCATAGAAAAGCAACTAAAATTTTAAATTAAATTAGCCAGAACAGGCTCTATTTATTATCATTGCACTGAATTTAATTGAGGGTTTCAAAATAAAAGAGGTTCAATAAAAAATGTGTTTTCATGTTTTTTGTTGACCTTTTTTTACCTTTTTTTAAACCATGTATTTTATCTCTACTTTGTCTCATTCAGTGACATAAATTGTGGTTTTAACTTGAGAAATTTTTACCAAATTCAATGTGTGTAACTAGCAATGCAAAGCAGAGGGTGGCTGCATTTTCCTTCCCCAGAGATTAACTGACCTTGCCCCTGACTGGACACCAGTCATTCTTTAACAAGGCGCCTTACAAAAGTATGCTTGCATCCAATTCTCCCAATTATTCAAATGTAGTTGAAATCAAAGGAGTATGAGGGTTAGGGGGTAAGGGGGGTGAGGCTCGGGGTTTCAGATGAAAACCAGGGGAGTCTCTTAACTGGCTAGGTTAGAGACTCTGAGCCATCTTCCCACAGAAACAGGCACTGGATCATATACAGAGGTGCAAGGGCAAAACACAAAGAAAGAGGTTTCAACAAGTTGGGAGATTAGGGGCAGGTTATCAAAGTAGATTTGTTGTGCCTTGTATCAAGCCAAGGATGAAAATACCCCGTGGGCATGCAGAAGGGGGTCATGGGACTCCCAAAAGGATTACCTTGAACTGGAGTCATGGGACTTGGGCGAACAAAGACTTTGCTCACATGCTCATCATATTAGCCTGCCCTCATAAAGTGAAGAAGTTTCTTGTCCTTTGGGATTCAATGGGAGAGCAGCAGAAGAGGAAGGCTCAGCCAGAGGAGCAGCAGACTTCTCCTCGCTCCTAAAACACCAATGTGTTGCAGTTTCAGGCAGTAGGACTGTAAGGCTCCAGCAGAGGCAGAGGACTGGGTGTAAGTGGACTTTACAACTCAAGGTATTTTTGAACCTAATTTCTAGCAATATTTTAACGATATCTCATAGTCTAGGATCTAGTTTAACTTGTTGTCCCAGGAGAGTGAATTCAGATGAGGTAAATATGAGCAGGCAGCACTGCAGGAGCCCTGGATGCTCAATGATGCGTAATAATACTCTGAGCCAGGATGAGAAAAAAAAAGAAAAGAGGGAAAAATGATTTTCAAAATCTAATGAGTAGCAAGTAAATTGGCTAAATACTTGTTGAAATACAAATTTACTCAAAAAAAGTTCACTTTTAAAGGTTTAATAAAAACGCTAAGACATGCAAGAGGAAACCAAGGAAAAAGGCTCACCCTTTAAATGTTTAAAGCATGTTTTGGCGACTCAGCAGTGGGAGAGAGCTCTTTGGGTCTCTGTAACTTGTGACAAGTCATAAGACACCAGCAGAGTTTGTGGACAGTCTCTAATTCATCCATGTATGACCCACCTCAAGATCCCTTAACATAATTCAATAACTTTAATTCTTTGTCTATTGTATTTCATAGGGATTTCTTAATAAACTGTTGCTGCAGATAATTCATCAGCTTTGAATGGACTGCTAATGTTGTCAGGGAAGAAAAAAACAAAAACTGTACTTTGTATTCTGGGCAGATTTGCTCCATCCTGGAAGACGATCAAACAGCAATCAGAGCGAAAAATATGTGGGACACTGCTTTTAAACTTCAACCAAGTTTTCATCCTGCAAAATTTCGGCACAGCTATAAGAAAACAGACTTTTTTGGTTTTTTTCATCAGCTTCTACTGGAGCATAATCCACCACTGAGTGTATTCTATTTATTCCTGACTGTAATACTTCCCCGTCTGTTATTTATGCTTTCTTTGCAGATTTCAAACTCTCGCCATCTTTTAGCCGGGGGATTACGGCTAAGAGGATTTTGAAAGTGCAACTTAAATTCAGATATATATCGTTGAGGCTGATCTCCTGGGGGAAGCTATGATAGCTGGTAATGCTCACTTAGGTTCTCTCTGGTTTTGTTTTCGCAGGCGCAGAAAGCTTGGATTGAGAGGACATTTCTAAAGCGGGAATGTGTTCACATATTTCCCAGCAAGGACCCAACCAGGTAATAAAAAAAAAAAGACCTATGAAACTTTTAACATGGATTAAAATGAAGTATGTCAAATTAATCACAAAGGTTGTTAAGATCGGTTTGGTTTGGAGGCTGTAAAGTATAAAATATATATATACTTTTTTTTAACTGACAATGATAGATACATTTTATCTTTACTTCTATCTTTAATAAATACTTTCTTTGTCATGAACAATTCATTTGTTGAACTTTTTACCGCCTAAAGTGCCATTTTTTGGTGGTTTTCCAAAGTTCCTCCTTCCTCTGTGAGCTGCTGACTGCAGACAAGCAGTTAACATTTCTAGAAACATAAATAGGCTGAGATATGGAATAAAAAGGTCTATTGATATAAGTCTTGAAAGGACAAAGTCATAATATGTTTTAATTCACATGAATTGCCTGTATGGCAGATGTGCCTGTGGCCAGCTGGTGACGCAGCATGTGGCTATCCCTCCTGGTGCCAGTTCCATAGCAGAGGCGACGCCGTTGGTACAGATTGAGACCCCCAATGAAAAATGGAGTGTGGTGAAACACACCAGGACCTATCCTACAGACTCCTACGGGCTCATCGAGTTTCAGGGAGGAGGATTCATTAACAAGGCCATGGTGAGGATCTGGACATTTTCTCTTCCTGTCATAGAGTTGAGAGCACACGCAACTGACTGAATGGTTTTCTTCCACAGTACATCCGGGTTTCTTATGACACCAAGCCTGACAACCTCTTGCATCTGATGGTGAAGGACTGGCAGCTGGAGTTGCCAACGTTGCTCATCTCGGTGCATGGTGGTCTCCAGAACTTTGACCTCCAACCCAAACTCAAGCAAGTGTTTGGCAAAGGCCTGATAAAAGCAGCTGTCACCACAGGAGCTTGGATCTTCACGGGCGGAGTGAACACAGGTTATTCTAATGCTTTTGCTTTTCACCAAATAGCTCGAGATTTTCATTGCATAATACCTGACCTGTAATTTCCTAAAGGGATGAGGTTTAGCAAGCCATTGTTGCAGATTTAGGCTCTATAATTAGATATTTTCCTTGGAAATTCAGGAAAAGTTCCAGTTTGTGTGGATTTGACCAAATTATATCTTATGACGAGGCACCATGAGGCTTCGGAAACAACAATTTCTTTCACGCTAATCTGTTTTGCTGAACTTATTTAAGGGGTGATCCGTCATGTGGGCGATGCCTTAAAGGACCATTCATCCAAGTCACGAGGGAAGGTGTGCGCAATAGGGATTGCCCCGTGGGGTATCTTGGAGAACAAAGAGGACCTCATTGGGAAAGATGTAAGAGCTGATTTTCTTTTGTTTTCCCATTTTTGTTTCAATAATCACTGTTGTTTGACACTTTTCTCTCCATTCTTTATCTAGGTAACCAGACCCTATCAATCCATGGCTAACCCACTTAGCAAGCTTGCAGTGCTCAACAGTAGCCACTCTCATTTTATCCTCACTGACAACGGAACCTGTGGGAAGTATGGCTCTGAGGTCAAACTCCGGCGGCTGGTGGAGAAACACATTTCCTTGCAGAAGATCAACACTCGTAAGCATTGCTGGATTATGGGCAGCTGGGTTAGAGATTGTGTTGGTACCTTAGTCACTGATGAATTCAAATGAAGACTGATAGCTACCTAAACACACTGTCTCAATTTCTGTCCATAGTTTACCTAAAAAAGCTGTCTTTACATGTGACCTTTTTAAACATAATGTGATAATACAAAGCCTGAATTTTAAAAGAAAACACCAATATAAATGTAGAGGCCGTAGAGTATATAAAACGAAACTCCTTAGATAGATATGGGTTTCTAAGTTCTCTTTGAAAAAATACACTTGTTCCAAAGCTTGGAAAAAACTCTGAGTTACTTGAATTTCAAAGACATACATTGAGACAAACTCTTCCAGGTGCCTACGGGACGCATGAGCCAGGATCTTAGAGGAGGAGTCGGTGGAGACTCCCTTTTCCTGTGACAAGTGGGCTTCCCTTTGTCATCCTATGCCTGGGACTTTAAATAAGGCAGGGACAGCAAAGGGATGCCCAGCTGTCACCACTGACGTCGCTCACCTGCCTCTATCACATTGAATTCTGTCGGGTTTTTTTTATTAAATTCTGAAATTCATTATCCAACTAGTCGTAAAAACACCTTGTCTTTTTCTACATTCCAGGTTTGGGTCAGGGTGTTCCTCTTGTGTGCCTGATAGTGGAGGGAGGTCCCAATGTCATCTCTATCACTTTAGAGAGCCTGAGGGATGAGCCTCCCATCCCTGTGGTGGTGTGTGATGGCAGCGGCCGTGCTTCTGACATCATATCCTTCGCACACAAGTTCTCAGAGGACGGAGGGTGAGGCCTTAGCCGATTCCTCTGCTGTAACACCTCAGTGGTATGCTCCGGTCAAAAAAAGTTTGAAATTTGATTTCCCAATCCTCTCCTGAAGCCTGGTTAACGATGACGTCAGAGACCAGCTCTTGGTCACGATCCAGAAGACGTTCAATTATAGCAAAAGTCAGTCTCAGCAGATCCTGCTCATGGTAATGGAGTGCATGAAAAAAAGGGAGCTGGTGAGTAACAGTCGAGGTTTTATATGCATTTAAAATCATCTTTCATTTCAGTATCATTTGTTTGTCACTCAATAAACATTTCTAATTTCATCAAGTGTCCATTGTTGTTCATATAGCCATTCCATTCGTCTGTGTTAATCTCCATTAACAGAGTGAATAAACATGATCTTAAGAAATATTTGTGATTTTGGCTTTTTGGTTCATCGTGTGGAAGATTCTGCTTGTGGTCCGATGAGACCAAAACTGAACTTTTTGGTCAACATATATTAACACATCATCCCCATAGTGGCACATGGTAGTAGTAGCATCATGCTGTATGATGCTTTTCTTTAACAGGGATGTAAAAGCTGGCTGGACAGGCCGAGATTCTGGATGAAGCTCCTGGAATCAAATTTGTAAGCCGCCAAATACTTAATGGGCTAAAATGACTAAATAATAAAAGTCAAGGCCTAAAGCTATTGAGAAATGAGAGTAAAACTCAAAAGCTGCTGCTTGTAGATAATTCCAATCCCTTCAGCTGAGGCTACTTTGCATAAAAGTATATGCAAAGATTTTTTAGTAGATTAGCAAAACTGCCAGAGAACACTTGGAGAGACCTGCAGCTGCCAAACACCCGCCTCCAACCCCAAACCCACAAGAAAAGGCATAAAGTGACAAAATGTGAAAAAGTTCAAGGGGTATGAATACCTCGGAAACACCATGTATGTAAAAAGTCAGCTTCTTCTCCGTCACCACTGAATCGACACTAAAGCAGATTAACCATATATATATAAAATGTGTTTTCAGAATGTGTGTTTTTTTTTTTTTAAATAGCATCTGGAGCAGAATCCTCAAAAGTGAAGAGGATAATAAATTGCATATATAACCTTGATAAACCATATAGGCTACATCTGGATGAGGAAGACCGGAGTACCCTTCATCTTGTTTGGTGAAAGTACTAAGTTTATAAGTTCACAGAAAGCATGCTGTATGCAGATGGAGTAGAGGCTCTATGTCTCTAATCCTCCCCCTGGCTTTTAGAGTGCTATCACTCCACCAACATAATAATGTTTCAGACTGTGTAATGCTCCAACAGACCAGGATAAGCAACTTAAACAGCTTTTTCAAGGATCATGTCACTTCAGCATATCCGCAATCCGACACTGCAGTCCTGTAGCAGCAGGTGCGTGTGCGTTGACCTGACATGATGATCTTATCCTATAGCAAATGAACCACTTGAAACAGCTGGAATAAATAGTAAAACTGAACAATTCAATAACCAGAACCAAAAAATTAAAAACATGTTTTCAATATTAAATTGTTGTGTGATGCTTATTATTTACAGCCTTTGGCCAGTTGTTAAGTCTAAGTATTCATGCAGCTTTAATTTAATCTGCCGTGAATGCATGTGACAGAACCAGCTGCATACAAACTGCTGGGTTCAGCTAAATACATCACAAAGCAAGTGCTATTCGTTCCTGCTGAGAAAAGTGACTGATTGTTTCCATAAGGATGGCCAGAGAATGAAGAAGCCTAGGTTCCTATTTTCTCTTCTGGCATTAAACTATAATTCAGCCACAGTTTTTTTAAATTCCCTTCTTTCCTGCATGCAGATCACTGTGTTTCGAATGGGCTCTGAAGGGCAGCAAGATATTGAAATGGCCATTCTGACTGCATTGTTAAAAGGTATTGTGTAAAGATAAAATACTCAAATTTGGTATATTTCCTCAGCACTAGTCAGAATGATTAGTAGGGGGAAAAACATTTACATGGACACTTGTAAATGTTAAACTTCTGAGTCCTACTTCATGTTGATCATTGCCATATTTATAGATCTTTTCACAGCAACAATCTTTTTTTTCTGTCAGGGAGCATAGACATGTTTTTTACATGTTCTCTCCTTTTGGTTGTTTGTTTGCATCAGGCACAAATGCTTCAGCAGCAGACCAGCTCAGCCTAGCTCTGGCCTGGAACCGAGTGGATATTGCCCGCAATCACATTTTCGTTTACGGGCACAACTTACCAGTGAGTGGTCTGTGAAAATTAGCCAATCGATACAAGCTGTTCCACAGCAGCTACACTCCTTATCATATCTGCTATTTATAGACATGGGTGTGTAATGGACAAAAGAGGAAACGGTTTTAAACAGGGGCGGATGAAAGCTATGGGTTAGCAGAGTTTCTTTTATTTTTTTTCCAAAGAGAAATAATTGTGATGTAAACATAAGCAGACACAATCATGTTCTCTCCTAGGGGGGTGGAGGGGATCAAACAAATTAAATAAGGTTTTAATTCTCCAATATACTAAAAAAAGCATAATTCCCAAGTCAAATACAAAGAAAGACAACAAAAATATGATTGATTGTTTTTTTTTATCACTCAAAAAAATGGAAAACATTTTTGTCTCTTATAAATCTACTTCCTACTAGCCTGCTGGAGCCATTGCCAATTCTACGAGTGTAGCTTCAACCCAGGAAAAAACAAAGAGTCCAGCCAGCGCTCCACGCAGCAAGGTTCGGGCCAAAAAGGGGAAGGGGAAAGGAAAGGCCAAACCGGAACCTCCTGAGGAGACAGATCCTAGAAAGCTGGAGCTCATTCGCTGGGTGAGTAAGGAGTTGATGGAGAACACTCCATGGAAAATAACAAACATAACTTACTGGCTCTGTGTGATGCTGTATTGTCTGCTAGGTGAACTCTTTGGAGCAGGCTATGATGGATGCTCTTGTGCTGGACAGAGTGGATTTTGTTAAATTGCTGCTTGAGAACGGGGTCAACATCCATCATTTCCTCACCATTCCCAGACTGGAGGAGTTGTACAATACAGTGGGTCCAAAATAAAGACACAGAAAAAAAAAAGAGAGTTCCTATAGAGTTCTGAAGACTGAAATAGCATTGCTGAAATTTGCAGAAATAGTATTACTGACCATTTTCTAATCATCACTTTTCTTTAGAAACTTGGACCTGCAAATACCCTTCACGCTGTAGTTAGAGATGTTAAAAAGGTAAATAATTATTGACAAATTCAACAATGTAGAAACAAATTCTGATTCATTCTTTGGGCTTTACTAAATATTTCAAAGTACTTTTTCAAAGTGTTTTATAACTGTTAATTTTCCAGGGAAACCTTCCTCCAGATTACCAGATTACTTTGATTGATATCGGCCTGGTACTAGAATACCTCATGGGTGGAGCTTACAGGAGCAACTACACAAGGAAGGCTTTCCGCAACCTTTACAATAATCTATATGGACTAAAAAGGGTATGGATAGATGGAAGTGAACATATGACCAGCTGGTCAGATGAAATATCATGTAGTATTAACAATAGATGTTTTATTTTTCTCATGCAGCCAAAGGCTTTGAAGCTCCTGGGAATGGAGGTGAGTTTTTTTTTTAAAAACTATTTTATTTTAAACATTTACCAGGTACAGCAAAATGTTTGATTTTTAAGTTGAAACCTTTTGTTTTTTTCAGGATGATGAACCGAGAACAAAAGGCAAGAAAAAAAACAAAAAGAAGAAGGAAGAAGAGGTGGAGATAGATGAGGATGACCCAGAGGTCTGTCGATTCAAGTACCCCTTCCATGAGCTGATGCTGTGGGCTGTGCTGCTGAAGCGCCAGAAGATGGCGCTGTTTCTTTGGCAGCGTGGTGAGGAGGCGATGGCCAAAGCCTTGGTGGCTTGTAAACTGTATAAGGCTATGGCCCACGAGTGCTCTGAAAGTGAACTGGTGGACGACATATCCCAAGACTTGGAAAACAACTCCAAGTGAGTGCTTTGCAGTAATTTATTCAAGCTTTAAGAAAAACTGTAAAACATAATAAAAAAACCAAACTCTGTTTGAGTTGTACTCAAACTTTTAAAAACTATTTCCTTCATGTTTGAAGAAAGGAACACTTAAAAAAGTGTGAAGGAAAATAAATCTGGCAAAAAGTTTTTGAGCTGAATTTAAAAGCTTCAGTTTGAGCTTATAAAGTCCAACCTTATATTGATCCAGTGTGAAGGCAGAAGACTGGAAGCAATAGGTCAGAGCAGGGGTCACCAATGCAGTGCCTGCGGCATCAAGGGCCCCTTAAGGTCCACATGGGGGGCTGTTGCTCTACTTTTGTAATCACACTGACACTTCTAAAGATTTGAAAATGAGAATATTTAAATTAAATAAAGCATT